AATGTTAAACAGCTGCAGGAAATTCGTTTGAATGAAGATTTGCTGTTGAAAATTTGAAGGAAACCTTAACACCCAAGTCCCACTATGGGCGCAACAACATATGGTTGACAGACACTATTCCTTGAATTTAAAATCATGGTCAGCTACAACACTATATGTTTATGCACATGCAGATTTAGCACAAAAATACTCTGTTGGTCTGCAGGAAATTTTTGTCTCCAGGTTGTTCTCCCGGGAAGAAAATTATTTTTCCTGCTCGGATTATAATCAACTGCACATTGTAGAAATTAAACCCCAGCCACGTACTGCAAAATCACCATCACATGATTATTCTTAAAAGGCAGTCATAAATATGCAAACCTGCCAAGCCTGAATCTTCTTCTCTTTGAACCAGAAACAAGGAAAAATACTGAATCATGTTTTGAGGAAGCTTGATTTGTGACATCGCTTCCTGGAAAAAACAGATTGATTAGAAGCTAAATATGTCAAAACAATCAGCGATTGGATGGCAATAACTGGATTGTGGCTACATGGCAATATTGTTATGTAAAGGTGCTATGTAATGTGACCATTCCACATCAAAACAAATATTTGTCCAGCTACCTGCATAACATGATCAGTTGAGTCTGTATTTCTAACATTCACTTGGAATTTTTTGCCGTTCATTAGATAAATATCCAATTGCATATCTTCCTCTTCAACATTGTTACTTTCCTACAAAAAATTGAGAGCATTGGTCAGGATAGAAATTCTAATAAAACCATCCAGCATAAATAATTTTAGTAAGATTAATTTCTTTACAGAAAGTTTAGTTTTACCAGAGTATGTGATATCTACCAACCTTTTGAGCTTTGAGCAGAAATTTGACAAATGTTTTTGAAGCAACGAGGACAGGATCTTGGCTGATTGACTGTAAATATTTCTCCAGCTGCTCTCGCCTTTCTTGAAGTTGTGTTTGATTTAGTGTCAGCAGTTTCTTGGGAGGAAATTTGTCTGGTACTCGATCACCAAAATCTTTCTTTAACTGAAATAAAATTTTATTGGTGGAAACTGTCAAACTTCTGTGGAAACTTCAGAAATGCTGATATTTATAAGATGCCAAGCACAATTGTATCTATTTGCAATCGAATACAATACTACATATAATGAAAAGAGTAAACGTATTATTTTCTCACACTAACCTGCTCGTGCAGTTCACGTAACTGTCTGTAACGGATGGAACTGTGGAATCCACCATTGATTGAGATACCATAGCTCTGAAATGTATCAGTGATGGTCATGAAGAGGACGGTGGTAAGGTAAAGTGATGATGGTGCTGGTTGTGGGTAATGGTGATAATGATGATGATGATGATGATGATCAATGATGATGGTGGTGATGATAATGATCATGATGATCATGATCGTGATGATGATCACGATGGTGATGCTGATGGTGATGATGATGATGGTGATGATGATGGTGATAATGATGGTGATAATGATGATGGTGATAATGATGGTGATAATGATGATGGTGATGATGATGGTGATGATGGTGGTGGTGATGATGGTGATGATGATGATGATGATCATAATGGTGGTGATGATGATCATGATGGTGATGATGGTGGTGGTGGTGATGATGATGATGGTGATGATGGTGATGATGATGATGGTGATGATGGTGATGATGGTGATGATGGTGATGATGATG